TTTCAAAGTTCATTAAAAACCTTTTAAATTTTATCTATGTACACATGGTAAAAGAATTAAGATTTTATTTTTTATTTTAATTAAATTTTTAGAACATAAAAGTTCCAAACTTAAAACACATAGTCTGTGTTTTTAAGGTCTCTTCAATGGTAAAAAAAATCTTGATTATCTCTGCATCTTTGTGAAATCTGCCAATGCTTTAACTTAACTAAATAATGTGCAACAAATCAAATTGCAAGCTTCAAAAATAATAAATATTTTACAAACCCTTTTTAAAGTCTGTAACTCGGCAGACAAATTGGCATCTCACTCTAGTACTTGCATAATATAATAATAATCTCAGCAATTGTTACTTGATGTTTCTGAAAAACCTAGTGAAAAATCAAGGTGGTAAAACTGAGCTGTGTCTGTGATGCTGCAATGGCATGTACTTTCTACACATCAAAATGATTCACAATTTCATTGTCAGGTGATTTGCTTGCATGAATGTTGTGAAGGAGTGGGATAATGGTAATATGTGGGTCATTTTCCACAGCAAAATACTTAATTCGTTTTTAGTTCTTGCCTTATCAACTCTTCAGCCAGCATTCTTTTCACAAGACAAAACAAAGAACCAACCAAAAAAAAAAATAAAAAACCAAACAACTAAAAAACAAAAAGCCCATTCTCCTACAAGCCCCCCATAAAACCAACCCAAAACTGAAAAAAACCCCAGCTCAATCTTTTCATCCTAGTTGATTACAAAGCCACTGAAATGTACCATTTTGTTATGTAAGCTAACTACTCAGAAAGTATGAAAGGGTTATTTGCTAGTTGAATAAATGAAAAAAACTTCCTCAGCATACACATGCATAAGCAAATGCAATCCAGAACCGAATGCCAATGTTGCACTTCCATTTTTTTAATTACACTTGTCATTTCCCAGAGGCTGAATTTCAGAAACCAGTAAGCTGAGCAGAACTTAGTAGTCTATACTGGTCTTTCTGAATTCTGAATGTTCTGTTTCAGCAGGAATGTGTGACTGTTTTTGCTTGTAGCAAAAGGGTAGTTTTGATTTGCTCTGTGTCAAAGAAGTTCCTTAAAGGTCTGGTGTTTATAAATCTGTTTTAAAAGCTGTGCATAAAAAGGTTTCTCTATAAATACAGAATGGAACTTTTTGGCCTCTTACTTGGCTTGTGTTTACTGAGTTTTCTCCTGCAACCTCTATAACAACTGCCATTCTGTGATCAGTAATTTGGCTGCACAGATGCTTCTTTCTTAGTGAAGTCTCTACTTAACTCATTCTCTTCAACTGGAAGCTGAAGGTGTGGGTAATTTTGTTCAGTTACACTTACAGTTTTGATTTTAGATCCTTTGCACCTACTCCATGGCCTTGTGATTTTATTTCCTCTAAAAAGATAACTTTTTATAGTTATCCATTCTAACCCATGTTCCATTGAATTCAGTTCCCTAACTACTTCCTTTTGAGCTGTACTTGAAAGGGCTTTAAGGTTCAAGCCTTTTATTTTTGTACCTTTTTTGTATTCATTCATCTCTCACTAAAATTTCACTCATCTCAAAGTAGGTCTTAGCTATGATTCTGTAAGTCTGGGAATGCAGTTATTAGAACGTCCTCTTGTTTCTGTAAAAAATAAGTATTTTAACATTGTAATTTATCAAATACCTAAAGTATATTTCTTTCATTTAGAAAATAATGCTATGGACTTTGAATTTGGTTTTATAGTTCTATTTATTTAGTTATATCATTAGAAGGTACATGTATAGTAGCATTTCTTAAGAATACTGAACTACATCATCCAACTTCCCGTCAAATTACTACAGATTTGCATATAATAAATTGAAAAAAAGGATAATATAGTTTTTCTTCTGTATTTTTAGTAATGCTGATAATCTTCTTTTTTCTTGACCCTGCTGTTTAACTGCAGGAAACATCAATAAATTCTGGCTGATCTTTTTCACCTTTCTTACTAAAACCAAGGTAATTGAAAGTGTCTGCTTTTATTCCACTGTGTAATAAAGGGAATTGGAGATATTCTTGAACTGTTGAAAGTATTTTTTTAAGAATAAAGCATTTACTACAGGAACTGTTATAGAAGAAAAAAACATTAAGATTGCATTTTCAAATACCAAAAGGAGCATATTTGGTTTGGGTTTAGTTTTAACTATATTTTATTTAATTATATCGGTTTATCTTTACTTCTACCTGCCTGGATTTCCAGTGTGCTTGAAAACCTTGGTCTTTCTTTCAGATTTCTATTTTCTCAGGGAAGAAATGCCTTCTTGTTATTTAAAATAATGATGCTGAAAGTGAGGAGATACTAAAGCTGGGTTATAACCAGCTGTCATTTAACTTTTATTATCAGTCTTTGTCTGATATTACCTTTGGCACTTCTGATTAATGTAATGTCAGACTCATACTAGAGTGATTTTGCACTGATAATGTTCTTTCAAATTCTTTTTCACCCAATGACTTTGCGTTGATAATGTTCTTTCAAATATTACAGACATGGTCTTCTCATAAGTAAAGACTGGCAACTCTGCATTCTGCTCACTTATTTACATCTTCGTATCCCATTGCCACCTTCAAAAATATAGAGGGCCCTTGGCACTGAAAGCATTTCATTTTGCTGATGAAAATCATGAATGGGATCTGGAAACACTCAGATTTTGGATATTCAACTCCCAGAGAGGTTCATCATGGGGATGAGCTTTATTTTGAGTGGCAGAAGGTCTGGCTATACAGACATGATATTCTGGTCTTTTAAAGGAAAAAGAACCTCAAGTCATTGCCAGATCTAAAAAAAACAGATTCTGGGCAGCACATTTAGGAATAATACTAAGAAAAAAGAAATGTTGGGTTTTTGCCTCCTGTGGTTTTCCATAACACTCAGCAAAGATTGGTTATAGAAAATGGATTTTGTTCAGGTTTTTTTGTTGAGATCTTCAAAGCAGCCTTTGTAATAAAGTTGTTTTCAGTGTTCTTTGCCAGAATATTTGTAAAGATTATAGATTCTTGGAGATAACAACTAGGATTTTAATTCATTACTCTTCTCTTCCTCTCTTCAATACTCTATACTAATAGATCACTTTCCAATTAAGGTTTTGGGGGTTGGAAGGAGTTAGTTTTTTTTGTTTGTTTTTTGTTTTTTTTTTTTTTGTTTTTGGGGTTTTTTTGGGTTTTTTTTTTTTTTTTTGGTTGTTTTTGTTTTATTTTAATGAAGGTGGAGTTTAGAATATTATTACCAGCTTGAAGTTTGCTTAGCTTGGGGGTTTTTGCCTCTTGCTCAGGCTATTTTCCCCTTAACTCTAAAAAATAATGTTACCAATTTGACATTATTACCTCATTCTGCTTTTAAACACCCCCCCCCCAGTAATATTTTGAAACAAAATATCATTGCTTAACTGTAAAAGTATCTAATAGCGATCTTATTTGACATCCAGAGTTTCTGAAAAAGTTTGCTAACTATTTTAATATTTTAAAAATCAAAACTACTTTCTTGTATTTAAAATACTGTAGCAATTAAGAGTGGTGGCTAGAGCATTTCTTGCAGACCTACTGTGAGATATTGTAGGTGTATTTTTAGATCTACTCAGAATTCAAGTCCTGGAACAAAAGAAACCTTCTGCTGTTGAAATATAGCAATTAACTCAAAAATATTTAGTAATGAGCCATAGTTATCCCAGACATTTTCCTTGATCTTATTTTGATAGAAGATAAATGCATTACCCGTTTTACACTTTTTTTTGAGTTCTTTCACCTTCGCTGGAGGTTCTCTGTTGGAAAGATTTTCACTCCCTAGTTCTAGGCTATTTGCCTTACACAATGCCCAGTAAACCATCTTCAGAGAAGGAAAGCAAAATTTATGTAAGCGGATTACAAAAACAATGGCATTGGATGAAACAGTAAACAAGGTGATGATTGTCAGTGAGTGAAAAAAAGGAGGCAAATTTCAAATAGTAAAGAGTATACAGAAGCTATTTCTATCTATTAAATGTAAAGTGAGTGGTATAAATAAACTTTATGTGTTCAGTCCTTAGAGGGGAGAGGTAAGAGAAATGCTGATTTTATAGTGTTCCCTACGTATAAATTTCTTGAGTTTTCTATTACTTTAACAAAGAACAGAGATCCTTATTATTTTTTGTCTTTTGTTTCCCCCCCATCATTTTCTTTCAAGAAATACATTTAAAATTTATTAAAGAATTGTCTTTTTTTCAAACAACTTTAGTGAATGTTTTCTAGAGTTCTATTTTTTTAATTGAAGAGGAGTTTTAAAAGTCTTAAATTAAAAAGTATTGCTTGTCGAATGAAAACTGTGGAATTACCATATTCAACCTGGACCTAGTAGTATAAATCAAAATTCAATCGAGAAGCAGTTCACATTTGAAAAATTGTTACCTCTTTTCTCTGTCTGGATTTTAAATGCCCAGTAGGAAAAACCTTAGCGTCCACTTCTAACGCAACCCAAAGCGCATTCCATGAGAATAAAATCTTTCAGTGAGAAAGATCTGATGGAAAGAAACTCTGAAACTGTCAGATATCTAGATTAAGCCACCAAATCCAGGCAAGAAAAGTTATCTCAAAACTTCTAAAAGCTTGGTGTCTGAATTAAGTAATCAAAATAATAATCAGAATGTAAAATGCAGCAGATATTTCTCTACTGTGTTTTTCGCCACACAAATTTTTTATATTATTTCCATTCTCTGTAAAATAACTCTTCTCCTAAATATGGAGATAAGCATTCAGCCAAACGGTTTCTGAAAAATTTGTATTTGTAAGTGATCCAGATTTGTGTGTGAAAAAGCAGAAATCCAGAGCTTCACAGGATGTTGGTCCAGATTTTGATATAGAAATGAAAATGTAAATATGAAGAAACATTTTAAATTATTAATAAAGGATTTGATCAGATATTTTTTCCTAATAGTGTCAATTTGTGGTCATATATTTCAATGTGCTTTTATTTTCCAAAGTAATTTTACTGTATTTTATTTATGTATTTTAGGCACGGAAGGGGCAGTGTTTGGGCACTCTGTGGAGACACCCCATATCAGAGCAGAACCTTCCCAAGACCTCAAGTAGGTGTTGTTCAAAAAGTTGCTTTAAAATCAAGTATTCTCCAAAAAATTAAGTCTGGATTAAAATAACTGTATCTGTATAGTCATATATATACTGCCTATTTAATGACTCATAGATACAAAACCACTTATAGACTCCAGTTTGTTGTAACTGGTCAAAAAAAAAACCCCAACTCCTATTGCATGAAATGTAAAATACAGTGCTTTTTATATATGATCTGCCTCCCATAGTGGAGTTCTTAAAAATATATTTTCCCTAGAGTGTGGAATATTCAGGTGTTTGTAGGGCCCAATGTGTGTAGTATTGCTCAATAGCATCAGACCAGTTTGATTTTTTATCAAACTGTTACAGAGCTGTTACAGAATATATAGGTCAAGCTAAAGTGAACAGTCCCAGATTTTTCCATTGAGCAGTGTTTCTGGGTTGTTGGGCTTTTTAATACTAACACACACACTTTTCAGATATTCATTACCAAGTGAAGCTGCATTTCTAAATGTAAGTTTTTTCTGTATATAGTCAAAGAAGATGAGGAATCAATAGATAGCAAAAGATTAAAATTTACTAAGGAATCTGTAGAAAAGAAAACTTGGAAAAGTTTAAAGTGAAAACTTTTTTTGAAGTGCATGTATGTGCACTGCTAAGTACTAGTCTGTGATTCATATGGATGTGATTCATAATGAGAATTACAGAAAATCAAAGGTCCTTTCTTGTGTTCCTCCCAGCAGAACTGGTGAGAGAGAGTATAGGCTTTGACTCAATTCTACTGTGATTTTTGAACCTTATATAACTATCTCTTCACCTGCCCAGAAGTGTTTCTAATTAATTGCTGCAGAAAAGCATGGTTAAATACTCAGCCTTACATTTGCAAAGGCATTGACCAATAACAGTGTTGCAGAAATCATTTGCAGGAAGCTGTCCATGTGGACAAGTTTGACCATTGTACGTGGAATGTGTGAAGTAAATTGTTGTGCTTGATTATTTACACCAAACATTTTAAAGTAATGTATGGCTTTGGGGTCTTCCAGAGGATCCCGCTCACTGGATTTCTATCTTAAAAATCTCTGTCCCTTTCCATGACCCCTATCAGTCCTTTGTGGAAAAGAATTGTAAAGGCATTTATTAGTGACAGTCACCAAGGTGATATGATCTCTAATCAGAGGAAGTTCAGAAAAATCAAAGGAACATAACAAGCTTTTCTTTTTTCAAGGGACCAGCAATTTGGGTAATAGGCTGGAACTTGTCCCTCTCAAAAGAATATTTTCCCTACATTGCTTTCTCTACTTCTTTCCAATCATCAAATAATATTAACAGAGTGAAAATGTGTGGTAAAACAGATAATCCTGTGTCTTCAGGATTAATTTAAATTAGGTTAAAATCACCTCACTTTGCTTCTGAAATTCACACATGGGACAGTCACCCTTCCAGTCTTTTGTCTTTATCCATTGCCATGATTCCTATTGTTGCTTAATGATTTCAACTCTACTGTTACTTCAGTAACAGTTCAGTTTCCAAGGTGGACTTAAATTAGTAAGCATTTGGCAATCCACTTTCTGCCCTCTCATTAATAATTATTTTAACCCATACCTTTTATTCAAAAAATTGAAGAAACAGACACCCTTGGAGTTGGGTCAGGTAACTTTAGCTTACTTGTAAGTGATTTGTTCTTAATATATTTAGTCCATATTATGTTCTACAAGTTTTTGTACACATGTGCTCCTGTATATTAGCTGGATTCCATCGTATTCTTTTTTAAAACTCTCAAGTCAATTTAGCAATTTAAAAATTATGACAATTACTATTAGGACATTTCAGTGGGCTGGTCTGGGTCCTCTTACTTTTTAATGTTTTAGGTAAACTTACCCAAGGTGTCAAATAATGGCAGTCCTGAAATCACCTAGAGTATTTTTCCAAGTGCTGCATCTCCGTGTCTTTGGATAGTTAAACTTAATGGTAAGCAATGAGAGTGTAGAAAGTTTGCTGAATAAACATTATTCATTTTTTTCAGTGGACACAATTGAATGCAATCTGACAGCAAATTGCAGTGCATTGGTGCAAATATATTAGACTATGAGAATTATTGTATACAGGGATGAAAGATAATGGAATATACATTAGATCATTAATTAAAGTATATCATCCTATGTTTTTCATGTTGGAATATATATTTGTGGTCAATTAGTGAACCTTAGACTTTTTTTCTCTTTTCTCCAAAATAAAATATAATGGAAACCTATTCATCACCTTGTATATGTAAAATGATTGACTACTGGATTGAAAAAAATGGAAAAATGACAACCTTGATTACTCTGAATGAGGCATAAATATAAAATTTAGTCCAAGAATTTGATACCCAAGAGGATCATAGTACTTCTTGGGATTTTAGTTTAATCTATTATTAGCAGGAAGACAAAAAGATAAAGTCAGATTCACATTAGCTCAACATATCTAAACCTTGCCTAAGATACTCTTAGTTCTATAGTCAGATTTTGAGGTCTTCATACAGGGAAGATCCCCTAATATTTACTATTAAAAATGTGTTGTTTAAAAATAAACTTGAGTTGAGTACTAATATAATTAATTCCTGTGTGTCCCACCATTTGGGTCACATCTTTCTCCTTTCTTGCCTTTTCAAATAATAGCTAGAAAGGTTTTGCTTTCAGGCAGTGCTGTTATACAATCCTTTTGAAACCTTTTGTGTCAAATCCCAAAAACTAATTAAAGATGACATTCATTAGTTGGGATAAGTAGCATAAAAGAAGCATGTTTGAGAATCAGGAAAATGAATTATATCTTAATAATTTAATCTTCTTGTTTCTCTCACTACTGTTTCTCACAGGAACACAGTTAGGAAAACTAAACTGCCAATGTATTCCCCAAATACTGGTTTTAGGCCAATAGTGCATTAAAATATGGTGCACTAATAGGCAATACCCATGCACAAAATAGACAGACAGTAGTTAAATGCAGATAACGTTGCCCTTAATAACATCCTTAATAAGGGGATGAATTAATTTGTTGTTGTCCTCTGGAGATAACTGCAAGATCAAATTTAAAAGTTATTCTTGTCTTCTATGTCATGCCTCACACACCACAATCAGTTAATCCTGCAAGCTGATGCTGGGAATAATGGGATGAAAATTGATCAAGTGGCAAGGAACCATGCAAGATAGTTGGGTTCTACTTTGCCTCTACTAAGAATTAAAAATATTCCTATCTTGCACAGGAGGTCTGGTTCATTCAGAGTTGTCTGATGGTTTGTAAGAGGCACCTTTTTGACATTTAAGGGATGGTTTCCTAATAGGTCAGAATATTATATTTTTGAAAGCCTGGAGCCAAAGAACACATCACATTTTGACCTTAACTTGTTAATCGTCTGAGCATGTTGAGAGTGACAAAATCACCATGCCTCTGTCATCTATTTTTAGCCAGAAATCAAATAATAAACAAAACCTCATCAAAAAGTAGAAGATGCAGCAGAGTAAAAACACCCGTCTCCCTTCCTATGCTGTTTTAATGATGTCAGATTCTAGCTACTTTCAGTGCCCTTTTTTTACAAAATAGAAATAGTTACTATTTTTGTTTTCATAATTTATGTTAGCTATTTCATTGTTTGGGCATGGATATTGACAGAAACTTGTTTGGTTAGTCTTATCAGTAGCTGTTGAAAGTATGATTTTTTTAACATGCATGTTCATAATAAAATAGGTATGGATATAGTAAAATTTGAAAAATTTCCAAAATTTAAGCTTCTCTTTTAAAAACACATGTGTTCTTCTCCTTTTAAATATACATTATATGCATTTATATAGATGTGTGTTTGTGTATATATGTGTGTATATATATTGATATAATTTTTTAAATATTGAAGTAAACAGAGAAGAAAGCCAGTAATGAAAGGTTGTAACTGCTATGCAGACAGGACAGAGTAGAAACAAATGTAGCTGGGTATGGCTTTTAAATGGAAAGAACAATTTGCTTTAGTGTTCAGTGATGATTATTATATTTGACATTGGAAAGGGAAAGGGCTCTAGCAGGAGCCAAGATATGAAGGATAAAAATATTACTATCACAAGTGATGGAAAAATCCATTCAGTTTCATATGCTTAATTTAGGATACTGGAACCTCCTTTTGTCCAGGCTAAACTACCCTGGCTTCCTCAGCCACTCCCATGTCTTACACTGTAGACCTTCACCAGCTCCATTGCCCTTCGGTGGACTCGCTCCAGTGTCACTATGATATTCTATGAAAACTTCTTTGTTAGGATTTTCCTCTCCCGAGGAGCTGAGGGCCTCAGGAAAGAAATGTAAACAACAACTATATGCTGCTGTGGAATGCAACAGGTGCATCTTCCATTAGTTCATATAGATTGTTTTCAATTGATGACCAATCACAGCCACCTGTGTCGAGGCTGTGAGCAGTCACAAGATTTTGTTATTCATTCTATTCTATTCTTGTTCTTTCAAGCCTTCTGATCATCTTTTTCTCTCTGTTCTTTTAGTATAGTTTTTTATGTAGTACTTTACTATATATATATATATCATTATATAATATATCAGCCTTCTAAGAAAATAGAGTCAAGCCTCGTGTCTCCACACATGGGAAATCCTCAACACTCCAGCCCCTCAATGTCCTTCTTGTAGTGAGGGACCTAGAACTGGACACAGGATTCAAACTGTGCTCTTCCCAGCGCTGAGCACAGGGGACAATCACTGCCCTGGTCCTGCTGGCCACACTATTGCTGATAGAGGCCAGGATGCCATTGGCCTTCGTGGTAACCTGGGCACAGCTGGCTCATGTTCAGCTGCTGTCACCAGCACCTCCAGGCCCTTTTCTGTTGGGCTTATGATTATATTTGCTTTGTGATTATGCCATGTCATGCCTTCAGGAACCCACAGATGGGCTCCAAACGTAGCTGTCTCAGCCTACACAGCATTATGAGAGTAAATTTATCACCCTATCAATCTCATTTGAAAAGCCATATAAAACTTGTAGCTGTAG